GGGATGGGGCAACCTGTGCCAGATTTCACCACTCTCTCTGTAAGAGAATTTCTTCCTTATATCTATCTTGAGATTTAAAGATTTAAAGGGTAATAAGTAACTGGAGGATGTTTAGAGGATATGCTTGATCAGTGGTCTTATGTAATTTAACTCACTGGTTTGGTTCTGTGTCTTGGTGCCCCCTCCAGTTACGGGATCATCAAGGTTGGAAGAGACCTTCAAGATCATCTGGTCCAACTGTCAACCCAGCATCACAGTAATCAGTTCTAAACCATATCCCCAAGTGTCACATCCAGACAATTCTTGAACCTTTCCAGAGATGGTGACTCCACCATCTCCCTGGGCAACTTATTCCAATTCCTTACCCATTCTTTTAGTGAAATTTTTTTTTCAAAGATCTAGTTTGAACTGGTATAATTTAAGGCCATTTCCTCTCATTCTTTCACTAGAGACCAATCCCTCCTAACTCCTTTCAGGTAGTTGTAGAGAGCAGTGAGGTCCTCTCAAGCCTCCTCTTCTCCAGACTAAGTAACCCCATTCCCTCAGCTGTTTCTCACAGGACATGTAGAATGACAGACCCTGATCCATCCCAGCACATTTGAATTGTGGACCCTAACCAGTCTCTTCATGCCTCATCTGTTCCTCTGTGAAATCATTGCTGAGATCGACAGGTGAAATCCACTCCCTAAATTTTGGTGTTTTTATGACTATGCCCCTCACACCCTCACCACACCCATCAACCCACAAGCAGAGAAAGGCACTCGACTGCTCCCTCTGTGGGCTGTCACCCACTGGGATCCCATGGACATAGGAAACCTGCAGGGTCACTTTGGCCAAACTGTACAACCCAACCTACAACCCCTCATGTCTGGATGTGAGGAGGGACCTGCGTCCACCCCCAAGGGAGGGCAACAGCAGGATCCTGGCTGGCTCCCACACATGGCAAAAGGGGAATAGAAGATACTTACACCAATAACGAGTTTGAGCAACTGAGCAGGTCATTACATTCAAATCCCCACATAAATCCTCCACGGCACTAACTGCAACCACTGCAGTGAGATTTTCTGCTGTGCTGATCGTGTAAAGGAGGGGTGTGAGCACACACGGGGCTGCGCTCTGTTTACACAGACTGCCAGTAAATGTTGATGCAGAGCCCCAGTTTATATAACTTATGCCACTGCTGCAACAATAAGCTGGGAAGTGCCGAGATCATACAGTCTGGTGGCAAGTGGAGCTGGGTGTGCAGCCTGAGTGAGGCTGCCGTGTGCCCCACGGTGCCAGAAGGTCTGTGGTGCAGCCACGGCCCTTGCCAGGAGCAGGGACACTTTCCTGTGCCTCCTTTCTCTACATCTCAACTGCATTTCTTTAGGGCCAGAAGGGCCCACCAGATGACCTCTTCTGGGCTAGAGGTATCCCTTTATCCTAATCACATTCCCAAAATCTTCCCTTCAACCAAACACACTGTCCACAAAGCACCCAGCCTTGTTTTGAAGATTTTCAGAGATGCATTGTCTACCTCTTCCTTTGACAACTCCTTCCAGTATATGTGCATTTCCCATTTATATGTGTCTGGCTTTACACTCAGGCCATTAACTCTCCTGTCACATCTTTCTCTGCCAGTGAGCCAGCCAGCACAAAGATGTAAAAACCTTACAACAACTTCATATGTCCCATTGATTTCCCACTGGACGTTGCAGGGATTTTTTCCCACCGGCATCTGCATGAGTTGGAATAAGCTCTGTAGGGGGAATAATTCAATGACCTTTTCCAACCTAAACAGTTCCATGTTAATCATTCACTTTGGGTGATCTGGAGTCCTGGGCATGCTCAACATACCTCATGTAGGCAGAGGTGTTGCCCAGATAGGAAAGCCATGATAAATTCCCCACTAATCTTTGCCCACCTCCTAGGTTTAGCTCACTGATACATCTTCCCCAGATCTTTATTCTAGTATTTCAAAAATCTCAAGAGTTTCAGACAGCCACATAAATGGAGTCAGCAGAGAAATATTTCCTCTTTCCAATCCCAAGTGTGCAATTTCTGCACAGGGCTCTTTGGGTCAGAGGTCCAGGTCAGGCCAAGATGAAGTTTGTGTGAGGGCCAGCTTTTCTGAACTTGAGAGGTCACAGCTTTGACATTTGCTGTCTCTGGAGTGAGTGGTGAGACATTCACAGGTTTGCCTCAAAAAGGGGGGAGGTGCTGGGCTTGACCTTGAAATTGCTGCACCACTCCTGGTACCCCAAAATTTCATCTTGCTAATTGCGTGTTTGCTCCTGGTGCAGTTACAGCATTTGGCTCTATAAGTTAAGAGATCAAAAACTGCCCCATTTCACTAAAAACTAGAAACTAGAAAACTTTTCCAAAACACTTAAAAAAAATAATACCTCGGCTAGTTTCACAGAACCTACACAAAATACCAGACCAAGTTGTGGTACCAAGGTAATTTTGTCATACTGTCTGCTTTGCCCTGCCAGCATGAATTCATGATGTGTGCTATCACACACACACACACACACACACACACACACACACACACACACTCTCACAAGCACATGGAGACATCCTTTCCTTCCAAACACAGCAGGTTTGCAGAACTCTAAGATCTACTAACACAATTTCAGGCTTTTATTCCGTTTCTTCTGTAACTTTTATTACAAAGCCACAGACGCTGACATGCTGTGCCATTCTGTCTCCTTTTGATGTGTTCAGTTACTACATTTGTCCCCAACTGAAAATCACAGAACACTTCAACACTTTTTATTTTCAATGTCTGATAAGTTTTCAGTTTGAAAGGGGCCGACCATAGAAAGATTGTCCATACAAATTTTAAAAAAGCCAATCACAAACTGGCAGGTAAGGCCATGTTTGATCTCTAATGCAAATAAAATTAACAAAGATAGTGAGTTTTAGGCCTAAAATTCCTTTGATCTTTGAAGCTCCATGGATTTAAAAGTACAACTGCCTCCTGTATCACAGCCTGGCATGTACATCTACATGCCTATATGTATATGTATACAAATACATGAAATAAAAAACTTTTGTGTTCAAAATAGGGTCAGTTACTAATGGCAAGACTGAGGTTTTCTTTAAACACCTTCTTATTCAGGAATGAAGAAGCATCCAAATCTTTTTCCACTGAAAAAAACCAAAATTCATACACAAGCACAACCTGGTTGAATTTATTTAAACTAAGGAAGACTTTGCAATGTATGCAAGGCACAATCAAGCCCTAAAAATCAATGGCATGCGGTAGGGCATGGAACAGCGTGACTCAAAAGAGCCCTTACAGGTACCCAGTGGAGGCAAAATAATTCCTCAAAAACATGAACCCCTCCCAGGCACAGCAAGCCAGCAAAAGGGTCAGAAAATACCTACAGCCCCTCTTAAACAGGGCATATGATGCCGTTTTCCTGGGGGGGAAATCTCCCACCAGTTTTGGTGCGCAGTGATAGATGCTAGTGAGGGAACAGATACCCAAAGCAGGATAAAATGCCCATGCTTTCTGCAAAGCAAGACCTTCACAGCATCTCCCACTGCACGTTCAAAACCAGAGCTGCCTTCTTGGTGCCATGGTTGGGGGTTGCACCTGTGCTGGGCTGATGCTTCAGGTACAATGGGTAATTCACTGCAGCTTTGCCTTTGGAGAGCTCTGCCAGCATCACTGGAGATTTATCTCTAATGCAGGAGCTCTAAAGGGCAGGAAGAAGCCACTCCTTCAACTTCCATGTGGCAAAATATGGAGTTTTTGACTGCACGATACAACACTACAGAGCTGGATCACAAAGGTCAGAAGGCACTGGTGGAGAGTGCTGCACACAGCCTGGAAGGGCTGTATGGGAAGTGCAGGATTGCTTCTTTTAATCCACTAACCCTCTCTCTGAGGGTCAGAGATATAGCTGCCATTTGAAAAAGTGCTGTAAGATAATCTCTCAGGGTTTGCTCAGCTGAACAATACAAGCCCAGTGGTCTCCTCCACCTTTGAAGCTGGTATCAGCACCACTAACACTGCATGTGTTAGAAGTGTCCTCTTGCTGCAGCACTGGCCTACAGAGCAGAGAAGGGTCATGGCCTTACAGGGGAATCCTGCCCTGTCCATGCCTCTAATGTTGCTGGAATGTGCAGTAGCTTGGGATGCACCATGGTGCAGTAAGAAGCTTCCCACAGGTATGAGATATGAGATGTAGCCCTTAGTATCTCTCATACACTTATGGTCTTCTTGAAATAAAGGTGATGCACTTGGTGTATAAAGGCTTTTCTTGAAAAAAAATATTAAATTACTCTATATTATAGCCATTTAAAACTCCTGACTAAATCATGCCATATACCCAGAGTCCTCAGTCCTCAAATTTAAGTTTCCCTGAAGCTGAGAGGATGCATATGAAGGTGCCCTTAATCTGAATTTAGCTTCTAGGGACCTCATCAACTTGTGTTAACAAAGTTTAACTGGACCCTCCTGCTGAAAAAGAAACAATGGTTAGCAATGGGTTTCTTTGTTACAACCTCTGTAGGAAGACCATTGTGAGGAATGGTCTTTCTGCAGGGGTTATTACATGGATATCCCATGACTAAGGCAAAAAGGGACCTTTTGGAGCAGCATGTATTGATGAAGGAAAACAGGAGCTGATGTATTTCACTGAATTGGGGCCCCATCTCACAGCACTGCGGCTGAGCAAACAGGGAACTGTTTGGTTTGCTGGTGATTCAAACAAACCACCAGAAAAATCACTGCAGGTCAACACAGAGCAAATACCTTCAGAAATGTTCAGAGAAAAGCAAAGCCTAAAGCACTGCTTTGTTTCAGATTCAATAAAGTGTTTCACTTTTAAACGGAGCAGCTGGTTTGGTTGGGATCTCTTTCACAGATCAGGCTTGAGAAGGAAGTAATTTCAGATTTAAAAACTGTCATATTTCAATTTTTCGGTGGTTTTTTTTTTTTTTTTTTTTTTTTTTTTTTTTTTTTTTTTTTTTTTTTTTTTTTTTTTTTTTTTTTTTTTTTTTATCAGCACATTTTAAACGAAACTCAAGAGAAGAGCAAACAATTTCAGCATTGCCGAAGCTGCCTTCTCTAAAGAAAATTTTGACTGCTGAGGAGTTGGGTGCCTCTTGTTGGTGTGCAAAAGAATGAAGGTTCAAGCCCCACTGGAGGGGAGGAGCTCTTCTCACTGCTCCCAGCTCACCCTCCACTGGGTCCTGCAGCAGCTGCACTTACAAATTAATTGTTTCACCTACATTTCATGATTTCCCCTTCCAGGCACCCTGAGGCCAAAGTTCCTTCTACAGCCCAACAAATTGTTATATTTTGATTTGCAAGACTTTCTTTTAAGAAGAAGACCCATTGCAGATTTGTGCTTAAAAACTTAATGAAACCTCCTCCCCAACCCCCCCAAAAATGCATAGTGTGAGCATAGAGCTCTGCTACTGAAGATGAACGGTGCCCATGAGAAGTGACCTGGCCACTGCAGACCCTCCCAGTCAGAATATAAGCAGTGAAAAAGGTGAGTTTCTGATGGAAAGGATGGTACCAACAGTACCTGAGGTGATAGGAGATTACATATGGTTAGTGTACAAAGGCATAGAGACAGGTGATCACCAGGTTAGGAGAAGTACAGCTGGTCACAAGCTACATCGAGCATACTCTGAGCATGGCATCTACAGAACCTGAAAAAAAAAAATCTTTATTTTCTTTGATCAAAAATACGTATAGAAATGCCTGTTTCGAGGAAAATATCATACACTTTTTTTCTTGTTTAACAAAATAAATTAAATATACATGACTTCTGTTTAAACTCTATATAGAATTACAAAGGTTTTATATTTTGCAATTGGATTCATTCCCAGTCCATATAGGTATTTAATATGGTCCTTATTTATTTTCTCTTCTTTCTGTTTTTACTGTTGAACTGCAACGAAGTTTCATCATTTCCAAAATGATATCTGAGGGGAGGGGAAAACCACACACAATCTAGGTGAGTATTTCTCAAATGCATTTTTTCCTACAAGATTATTATTTCATTCTCTTTGTTTCTTACACTTTTTTCTAATGCTTTCATGTATTTTGCATTGATGTAGAAGATCCAGTAGCTTGTCACCGTAAGCCATCAGAGAAGGACAGTGTGTTTTGCTTTCTTCACCATCAGCAGTTCAATTATTATTATTATTATTTATTATTATTTCTTAAATATAAATATAAAGGTGTTCTGTACAACGTTCCTCATTCCTTCTCTCTTTTTTCCTGGCAGTGGCACTGAGTCCTGGGACCAGGGGAGGGGAGCTCTTGTGGACTGATCTGCAGAACATCCCATGGGAAACAGGATGTCTTCACCTTGCAGAATTCAAAACAACCAGCTTGGTTAGCTGGTTGTGCTGACTGTGATTGAGAAGTATTCACCATTTCCCCTTGCGAATGGAAATTAGTTTTTCCAGACCCTCTTGTGTTATGTCTTCCCCCTCAACGAGATGAATTGGTTATGTCTCCTGGTGCTTTGGCACTAAACCTCAAGTACTTTAGTGCCTGAGTCACTCAGAGCAGGACAGGTCTGGGGGTTTCCCCCCAAAACAAGTGATGTGCAGTTGGCACAAGAACAGCAGTGCCCATCCAGAAAAGTACCACACACATCTCTCGCTCTACTTGCTCCTCTTAATAACACAAGGAAGGAGGTGGTGGTTCACATCCCTGTGTCCTGCCTCACTTGTTGCCACCTTGATTAAAACATCCAGGAAGGCTCTGCTGTTGGAAATGGCTGCCTCTCTGCTGTGATTTGGAGATCCTTCATTATTCCTCGGCTACATCCTGATTGCAATAATTAAAAAAAAAAAAAAATCTCTTTTCTCTGTCTTTCTCTATTATATATATATTTATATAGATAGATATAGATATATACACATATATATATACACACATACACACACGCATATACAATTATATATATATGTATATATATATATTTAAAATTATATATAAAATCTTTTCTGTCTGCTTTGCCTGTTGCTGGCAGTGAGAGCTGACTTGGAGCAGTCTCTTCTGAGGTACCACGAGGAAAAGCCCAAAAACGAGCTACTGTACAGGGCCAGCTCTTAGCACTGGTACTGAATGTGCTGGTGCTGGTGGACTTTGCCTTCCACGTGCGAGTGGGTGTGGGTGTGGATGTCCGTGTAAATCTTTGGGTACATTTTGGACGCCATGGCTGGGGCGAGCGCAGGCCCTTGGGACAGCAAGTGCTGCTGCTGGGCCACGTATTCCTCATAGTTTATGGAGGAGATGCAGTCTTTGTCTGGGACCTGGGAGACACAGATCCTGTCCCGGGGCTGTGGCCGGTGCGCGGGGGCAGCAGCTGGAGGGGAGCAGGGTTTCTTCTTGGACTGGCAAAGCCACAGGAGGATCGTCCCGAAGATGAAGACAGCTCCGGCGGGGATGCCGATGATCACGGGCCAGGGCAGGCTGCTGGCCGAGGAAGGGGGCACAGGTGCACTCGGAGGCTTGGGATCTGGACATTACGGCAGGAGAGAGAGACAGAAAGAGTTAATTAAATGCAGGCAAAGTGGATTCAAAACAGATGTCACGCTCGGGCTGGCTGTTGTACAGGCTGTCTGGCAGCCCTGCCAGACCGAGTAACGAGGGAGAAATCAAGCCAGCACATGATGTTTGGTAACTGCTTTGCTTTTCAGTGCTCCTGGAAGGACAAGCAACTCATTTTCTCTGGTTTAGGGGTCAGGAGGGGAGTCTTTGGAGGATTTTTTTCGCTTTCTTATCCAAGCTTTAATGGAAGCACTAGAGCCAGCCCAAGACAGTTTCCTAACACTCTCGCTCTGCGATGGAGTGAGCTTTGCTGCCCAGATTGGAGGACACAACACGAGATACGTCAGTGTTGCCTCCATGTCAGCAGCCCAGGAGGCATGATGGGGTTGTGTAGAAACACAGCACACTGCCCACATGCCTCTGCCAGGTGTAGCTCTGTCTGCTGGGCTTGAGACACTCACTCTTAAGTAACCCCGCCTAGCAATACTGGAGCTACTCATGCTCTGCCATGGCAGGGAGCATGATGTTGGGTTTCAGAGATGTTTTCCTGAGTTTATTGTGTGGCTGGAAGGAAAGCTGAAGGATGTGGAAAACGTAGATGAGCAGGTGTCCCCTCACTGGTGCCCAAGCCACGGAGAACTGAAAGTTCACGCAGCATTAAAGTGTGTCCACAGCTCCCTACACCAAATGGGCACTACCTCCACCACTCTGTTTGGAGCTGCTGTTGGCTTTTCAAAGGCAGTCATCAATTCAGCTACTGTGGAGGAGACAAGATGCTTCAGATATCATCTTTCTCACCTACCTCCCCTTCCCCCCTCTCTGCTGTTGGCAGCCTGTACCACTATCCCTGAGTAGCCACTCTGGTTTTTCAGCCTGATCTCTTGATTTATGTACCCAAAAAGAGCCCTGGGGTAGGATTCTAGCTGTGAAAATCCTTGTCTAGATAGCTACCAGCTGGGAATTCCAAAGCCTGGAAACATATCTAGGCACAGAATTCAACTTGCAGGGAGACACCTAAGAAATTTCTAAAACCACAGGCTATCTAAATCGCTCAATGTGTTATATTCAAACATATATCACTTAACTTTCAAGCCAAACTTCTTTTAAGACACTAATGTCTTTTTCTCCCCTTGACAAATAATCCTACGGCTGGATTGAAATGTTAAATATATAACATGTGGTCTCTTTGAAGTTAGAAGGGCCTATACTGTTGACCTCCATAGGCAAAACTTTGATTCACTAACACTGTAAATTACAGAATAATTTAGGCTGGGAGGGGAGTCTGGAGGTCATCTGGTCCATCCTGCTGCTAAAAGCATGACAGGATCAGAGAACTGACCCATCAGCTGACCAGGAAAACAGCAGTCTTCACGTTGGTTGGCAGAAATCCTTTGCTAGACCGAAATGAAAGTGTTTTGATATTCTCCATGCTGTTCCTCAGAGCTGTCTATATCAAAACTGGTAGATTTACAAGAAAAATTGTGTTTTTAACTCATGGCCTTACAATCACATCTTCGCCTCTTAAGGCAAGCTGGGCTCTCCTTCTCCATCCTTGCCAATAACAACAGGCCTGCAGGCGCTGGCTCTGGCATTAGGGATCATTACAGTCCCATTTAAATCAATGGAAAGTCTTCCACTGATTTCAGTGGGAGCTGGATCAGACTCCTATAGCTCAGAAACTCCCAGAGGCTTTGAGTTATATCCCACCCATGCAGCCTTTTCCTTGGGATTTACAGGCTTTTCAGTTAGAGTTTAGTCCTAAATCCAAGTGACGCAGAGGACAATGCCAAGGGCATTCTCCTACTTGTCAACCTGCTGTTGGTATCTAAGTTCAAGCCAGTGACTCTCGACGGCTGCTGAGGCACAGAGCTTTGGCAATCAGGGAGCAGAAGAGGCCATGCAGCCTTAGTTACGGGACTCATGAGCATTTCCCCTGCTACCTACAGAGAAAATCAGTTCATGATCGCTGTCTCTCACTGGTGTCTCGACTGGAGACACTCCATTATACCTGAGAGCTAAAATGTTCTGATTTTGGCTCCAGCTCCTGAACTCTCTCGGCTGAGCTGGCTTTGTGGTGACAAAGGGAAGAAAAAGCAGTAAGATTTATTTTTGTCATAAAACTGGTGGATCTGAAGCAAGATTCACAAGGCAAGATGAGGCAGAAACAAATGCCCTTTTCAATTAAAAAAAAAAAAATTTCGGGGTGGATAACTGCACAGTCAAGGAATAAAGGAGAAAATGGCCAAGCAAAGATGGTGTGTCTCAAACACAGTCTCAGACAGATGTGGCCACCAGCTCTGAGGTCTGGGGAGAGGAGGTAGCAGCTGTGAATTTGGTACAGGGACCCCAGGGGACCACTGGGTAAGAATTCAACTAATCAATCATTCTGTTTCTCCCACTCATTCTTTTCGTTTCCTTGTGACCAGAACAGTTTTTATTCTTCTCTCATTTTATGGGCCTGTATAATTGTTTCCTTTTACCAGCAAAAGCAATATAAATAAGGGCAAAAGAAAGGAGAAATGTAAGGGAATGGGGTTGCAAACTGCGCTGTTATTCAGTTCTCCTCTCCTATGCAGCACCCTAGCACTGAAGTGATGTAGTGTCTGAAACTGCAGCCTCCTTTCCCAGCTCCTCTTCCATATAGGAGCAGACAATTCATTTTATTTCACCCTGATGACTGAAAGGGGACCTCATCAATGCCCATCAGTATCTGAAGGGAGGGTTCAGGCTCTGCTTTGTGCCCACCAGTAGGACAAGAGACAATGGGCACAAATTGATGCATGGGAAGGTCAACCTTAATATGAGGAAGAACTTTGTGGGTGACTGTGCAATGGAACAGGTTGCCCAGAGAGGTTGTGGACTGTCCCTCACTGGAGATATTCAAGAATCTTCTGGACATAATCCGGTACAACGTGCTTTGGGACGATCCCGCTTGAGCAGGGAGGTCAGACCAGATGACCCATTGTGCTCCCTTCCAATCTCACCCATTCTGTGCTTTTGTGATTATTTCCCATGAAGGGAGAAAAGGAAACACCTTCAACAGGATTTCAGCAGGAACTGTTTTAAATCAGGGCTGATTTAGTCCCCCATTAATTCTGACGAGCTGAAATCAGCACGGCATCACAGAGGGGCAGGGAGCCCAATGGGCATCAGCTGTTGTGTAATTAATACCATGAGGCAGACTGCTGGTACAAATTGGGGACAAATAAGTGAAAACTCACCTGGCAGGACGGTAAGAAAAGCGCTGCGGAAGCTGTAGCCCATGGTGTTTGCCCCCAGGCAAATGTACATCCCTGCATCCTCCTCCTTGGCTCGGGTAATCATCAGTTTGTTCAGGTAGGAACCATCTGGGCGGGACCAGACCTCCCCCGTGGGCAGCACAACGAACTTCTGCCCCCCGACATCGATGGTGGAGTTGTACTTGCTCTCTGTGCCATATTCCACCCTCTTCAGCCACTGGATGACGGGTTTGACGTCGCTGCGGACTTTGCACTGGAAGGACGTGGTCCCACCGTAGTCCACCGTCGTGTTGACAGGGTGTGTCCCTGTCAGGATGGGCTTGGACCTCGTCCTCTCTGCACGGAAACACAGGGAACTCCATGGGAAAAGGTGTCTGCCAACCTCAGTAACTTGCAAGTGCACAAACATAGGGAAAAGGTGTAGGAGGGATGCAAAATGATAGTCTAGTCCAACTCCCTGCCCCAAGGCAGGCTGAGATTTCTGCAAACCTCTCCTGATACAATTTTTCCCAGTCTCTGCCAAAGCCTCCAATGGTAGATGCCCTTTAGTCTCTCCACAAAACTCTCCCATTGAGGCTTAGCAAGTCTGTTCTCATGCTCAACCTGAATCTTACTGTTTCTAATAAGGAAGTTACTTTTCTCTATATATATATCAGACCTGGAGAAAAGTATTCTCTTCCTCTGAGCCCTTTTTCTTTGGAAGATTGTCTTCATCCCTCTCTTCTGTACGCTGAACAACTCTCCCATGTGTGATTCTGTGATGCTGTGTCTCACCACCATGTCCAGCAGGGTGCAATTTACAGGTGAATGAGACACAACTTCAAGTTTTTACCAGATTATTTAGGAGTACTTATCTATTAAGACACCACACTGTAACCACTGTGGCAACCTTCAGTTCAGAAACAGGGAGGGCTGGGGTATTTCTTTCTTCAGTCTAATCATCTCCATGCTCAACACGGAGAAAATTTTTGTGGAGGAAAAGCTCAGAAGACGTTTGATTTTCTAGCCAATAACAAAATCTTTCCTTTCTCACAACGTCGTTTTGCCTCAGTTCTCAGGTGAGAAAGGAAACAAGATGGTAGGAAAGAAAATCAAACAGAAGAGGTTCACAAGACCATCCTTTCCAGCATGACCGTAAGCCTTGGGTTGTGTCAACACCACATAAAGTAAAAAGAAAAATATATGCCTCATTCTGAGGAATGTTTGGATTTTTTTTTTTTTTAGTGTTAGAATCAGATAAATCAGTCACAGTTTCCAGGCAAGGAGGGACTGCAAACCTCTATCCTAGGCACAGAGAGAAATTATGGTATCACAGTGGGTGGTAACTGCTGGCAATCATCAACTCCTTTTGATGGCAAACACTGTTGGATTGAGCATGTAACAAAACAGCTCCCACCAGCACTGGCTCTGGGGTGAGGGGAAGGAACAATGGACCCTCTTTCAAAAACTCAGGATATGTTCAATAATGAGGGCTCTAAAGATGGGCTTGGGAAACAAAAATACCACAGTGGTCTCCATAGGCCTTGCCTTGGGACTACAAGCAGCAATCACAGCTGGGGAGACTGAGACTCAGATAAGCAGGACTTAGGAGTGGAGGCTCGGGGGGGGGAAAAAAAGAAGGAAATTGAATAAAACCTGTAATGCTTCACAGAATGATGTTAAAAATAGAAAGATGTCTGAAAACTGCTTAATGCCCTTATCTCCTTGACTCTGGTTCCAGCTTTGGTTACTGTTTTCACTCCTGGCCAGCAAAAGCTAATGAAAACAAAGGTTACACACATCTTTAAGTTGATAAAAACCAAGATAAACAGGGACACAGAAAGGGGTTTGTTCCTGGTGCTGTCTGGTTTTGATGAAGTGAAAATGCCACAGCTGCCATTAGGATGGGGCTTGATTCATTTCCCTGCCTCTGCTCCTGGTTTTAGTGTAAACACATGTTTTTACTGTCTCCACACAGCTGCATCTTTATCAATCCCAGATGTCCAGCAGGTTTGTGCCTTCAGAGCCCAACAGAGCTTCCCACATGTGCTTTTAATTCCTGTGATTCTGGGGAAAGGACTTATCAGAGAACAGATCGTTACCTTTAAGAACAATCTTTCACACTGGGATAAACTTTCTCATGCTAAAATGTATGCACAGACAAATAACATGTTTTCAAAGTGGCTGGAAATAGCCCTCCATGCCCCTGCTCCTCATTACTGAAGGCTATTCAATCTTCCCTCCACTCAGCTCATCTCCTCTTTCTTGAGCTGCTCTGTAATCATTTCCATGACAACTTATGATGATGTCATAGACAAAGCACAATGATTTAAGAATAAGAGCTCTTCTCTGGTAAACTTAGGTAGGATTTGAGTATAATCACCTTCAGTAATAATAGGGGAAACAGGAGATTAGAGAGCAAGCATCAGAATAGGTAAATAGTAAGAAGAGCAATTTACCTCACCACAATGCAGGGTAATCCCCCACAGCTCATCTTCTAAGGATTGAATCTTTAAAGCTGTGTGGGCATCTAAAGATACAGACAGGACCCTAGTGGGAATTTTTCAGGGGTTGTTTAAGTATCTCATTTATACCCACCTGGAGCTTCAGATGGCCAAATGTTTTTTAGACTCTGGCCCTAAAGCCTTGTCTGGCTAATCACTGTAGACATAAGATTTCTGCTAATTCCCTTTGGAGACTTCTAGATTAAATTTTCAATCGACTGGTTTCACCCATTCTGACAGAGTAATCTGGGCTATCCTAAATACTTTCACCCCTCCTCTATGGCATCTGAAAGGCTTTCTCAGTTAGTTCTCAGTCTGTCCTTGAATTGACTCTCTTGGTAGAATAAGATTGAACTGGGCAATGGTAAAGTTTTATCATGTAGGTTCCCTTAGAAATGACTATTTCCCAACTACCCATCTTCCTTTCATCTACTAAATTGTGTTGTTGCTCCTCTGTCTTGCCCAGGTGTCAGGTTAATTCTAGAGTTTCAGCACTGTTTTCTTTGCTGATGTTTTTAGCACTTCCCCATTTCTATGTCCAGCTACCAGCACTGCCGTCATGCTCTTTTCACCCAGCTAGCCTCCTTCTCAAAGCTTCCTCCCAGCCTTTCCACCCCAGAGGCTGTACTTACGGATCACTTCAACTTTGTACGTTGCATTGATTTCTCCAACTTTGTTAAACACCCGGCAGGTGTATTTCCCACTGTCCTCTGGCTTTAGGTTCTTCAGGTTCAACGTCCACTTCTTCTTCTTGTTCTCTCCAATCTCTTGGGGAGTGAGGGGCTTATTGTCCTTCAGCCACGTGATGTCAGGCCTTGGGTTCCCGCTGGCCACGCACTTGAGGCGGATGGAGCTGCCGACAGGACGGGCGATCACCCTCCGTCTCATCTTGGCAGGCTGTGTGAACCTGGGCCGGGCTGCAAGAGGCATGAAAAATTGACTGTGGTGAGCAAAGGACATGTATAAAAGGATAATGTTGTCAAAGTGTTGTGGCCAAATTTGCTTAAGAGGCACCTGGCAGCCCCCCACACACCAGTGTACCACTCTCCCTCATATCAACTCAAAAGGAGACACTACCCAGCCCGATGCATTTGAAAGTCTACTGGACTGCTATGGCCACTGCACTGGCCTTCTGCATAGCACAACCCCAGAATTTCTGTGTATCTAAGGCAACTGCACCAGACCATCTCACAGAATGAGACCAAAATCACACTATTGCAGCTGAAGGCAAAATGCGGCCCCATAATCACATTGTAATTGTTACCATATTCCACGCCACAAAGGCAGGTCCTTAGCCAAGACCAGAAGAAAAAGCTCAGATTCCTGTCAGGCTGACCATTTTCTCAATTTTTTTGCTTGTCACATGAAGCTTCATTCTACAAAGATACTTTTCCCTTTAGTTCTCACTGGCTTTAATGGGACTTAAGAAGAGTCAACAACTTTTCAATACATAGGAAAGTCTTAGAAGTGTGTCAGACTTCTGTACATTGATCTGAACTTAAAAGTGTGCAGTTTATTCAACTTCAATTTACACAGCATTCGTGTTGAAAGGCCCAAAGAAGCAAACAAAGAAATGGAAAGACATAGTAAAAACCCCATTGAGCTTGTTATTAGAAGGTATTCAATGCCAGTCCATCCCAAAAATAGAGAATCTGAATCAAGAGCTGCTGGTGGACAGAACCATGGGTTAAGCTACTCATCTTAGCAAAAAAATCACCTATATTTTTAACAGCAGTGACAAGAACACTAGAGAAATGCAAGCTCCCTACCTGCAAAATCTGAACAGTAATGAAAAATTCAAAATAAATTACAAATTTCTCACAGTTACTTTAACTACACAATGCCAGTCCAGGCGTGCTTCTAGTTGCAGGCTCCTGCTGAGATTAATACCACTTCTGACTCCCACTGAACACCCTCCCCTGCATCCAAAATGCTCCTGCCAATTTCCCATCTTTTTTTTATTTTTTTTTTAATATTTTTTTTATTTTGGCAAAACCAGTTTCTCCTCCAAGACCATTCATAATTTCCACAACAGGATTTTACCCTTACTTTTGAACCCTATTTCTTGATTACTGTGGTATTACTTCTCAGCCCCAAAGGACAGTCACCCTGCATTTTTGCATGCTCCTGGTAAATATTCCCTGACTCTTTTCTTGGGAAATATGAGAAATAGGTAATGAGTAGCCAGCTTTGTGGCACACAGGGTTGAACTGTGTCCATCGTAAAATCATTAAAGTTGGAAAAGACCTCTAAGATCATTGAGTCCAACCATTAATCTAACACTGCCAGCTCCATCACTAAACCATGTCCCCAGGCAGTACAGTGCTTTTGGAACACTTCCAGGGATGGTGATTCCACCACTTCCTTAGGCAGCAACTGGCCTTCACCAATAGCAACTGCAAAGCCACAGCCTCAGTACAATGAAGCACATCAAAATAAGCTGAGAAAGCTGTGCTTCAGGTCTCAGGGAAGTCAGCTAAAGGATGGTGGGACTCTCTACCAGCCAGCCAGCCCTGCTGCCCAGGGCTGAGGGCCAAAAGCTCCGGGATGTGCACTGCAGTGGAGCTTTCCTGAAAGGAGGATGCTGGTCTTCAGCTTCCTGTCTCCAAGCACTGTGGAATGGCAGCCACTGCCCTCTGAGGTTTGTGAACATATCCCTTAGTCCTCACCCCCCTTGCAGCCTTGGCCAACATCCCTCCCTCTTGGAAGAGGACACCCTTTGGCATACCCCTCTCTGCAGAGTCCTTTTCCGCAGGGGAAACCATCTGTCTCCACAGCCTTCCCTCGCCCCCCTTGGCTGTCATTTTGGGTCCCAGCCACTTCATGTTATTCCAAACTCTTGCTCAGAAATGCTTTACTCTCCATACAGAGTCTTTCATGTGTAATCCAATGAACCGGAGTAACTCCGGCACTGAAAGTCTTTGCCGTGACAGCTGAGCAACAAGTGTGACATACTAACCCACTCCACAGGTCGTGGTGCCTAAATTGCAGGGTGTTCCCTTTGGGGTCTGCTGCAGGAGGCCCCCTCCCAGCAAAAAAAAAAAACAATCACCCTCCCTGACAATGAACCCTGTCAGAGCTGCAGGCTGTGGGCAACGACATTCCGAAGTCTGAGTCTGAGCCGAGGGAGACGTGCTGATAAGGGCTGTCACTGGGGAAATCGAGTAAATGTCTGCAAGGTGCATGGAGAGGTCAGGAATCAGCTGTGAAATGGGTGCATTTGCAGTTATCCTCTGATATGGCAGCAATTTACTCCAAGACCAGCAACTCCAGGTAGGGGAAGATGGGATTCCTGGGCTGGGGCTAACACATCAAAGAGCAGGCTGGAGCCAGGACAGTCACGCTTCCCCAGCAGACTGAAGAGCCAAGGGAGTGACTGAGCTCTCAGAAGGACTTGGTGGCATCCCTGCTCAGTAAGGGCACTGTAAGACAGAAACTCTCTTTTCACCCAAAAAAGCAGGGCTTTAACATTTCTGATTTTTCTCCCACTGTGACTCCCGTGAATGTGTCTGGAGTTTTGCGTTCACTCCTTGTACAACACTGGTTGCACAAATACACAACAAACTACAGGTAAAGCTACACTTCTTAGGCTCTTTCTGCCTTTTTTTTCTTCTTCTGTTTAGGAAAGGTTAAGTGATTATGTGGTCTCAAAAGCCACTCCAGGCTGCGTGCAATATGCTGAAACCAGATCCCATTTACACAATTCTGAATGTTTCCTTGACAAAAGCCTGAATTGGACAAGTTTAGAAAAGCCAGTTAACAAAAAAGGAGAAAGAGAGAGACACATACATAAGAGAGAAAAAGGGACCTAGCAAGCACAAAGGAGAAAGAGGAGAAGCAGCAGTGTGAGAGGCAGGCAGAAAAAATCTCTTTTGAGTTGGTGCTAGTAAATGTCTCTCCCCAAATCTGTACAATTTACTTACATTTTGCTTGTTGGAGTGCCAGCAAAGGCCATTACAAAGTGTCTCTGTGTTATTTATACTTCACATGCTTGTTCTCCTCCTCATCATTTGGCATTTGCTTCATAAACATGAACCACACATTTGTACAGTGTAAATTATGTCATATTCAAGAGCAAGGGAAAACACAAGTGGACGGGGACAAAGAGACAGTGTTGTGTATGAGTTCCTGTATGAAATGCTGTTTACCACGAAGACTTATTCAAGCTAATGATAACTAAATGAAATGGAAGACTGTCAGCACAAAGACCTGTGATGGAATTCTGTGGTCTCCTCTCCCTATGGGGCATGGATCAGTCCCAGAGGCTCCTGTCAGGTTTGCTCATACAAAGTGAGGTGATTATCTGAAACGTTGTCTGCTGTGATCCACCACAATTACTTCCATGTAGTGACAGTCACTACCTCTTCCAGCTTCAATGATACTTAAAAAAAAGTGTCATGATGCAATCAAGTATTGAAATACTTTCAAGTATTTTCGATAAGAGCTCAGTCAGTTGTGGGAAGACATGGAGGGGGGTATCCATCTTTCCCCGCATAGTTCCCTGCTCTTGATGGGGACAGGACCTCTCCCCAGTGATACCATGGTGGTACATGGAAAGCAAAGATGAGCTTTTTTCGTCGTGGTTCTCCTCTCACACTTCTCCAGGGCCCAGGATTGCGACAACACAAACTGCTTCTTCACCCATCACCCTCCAAAGACATGCAGACACAAACTGACCTTCCCTTCACACCAGCTCCCACCAGCAATTTGCTGGTGAATGCTACAGGATCGAAAGGGTTTCAGTGAGTGTGTGCCTGCCCCAGGCATTTCTCTGCTTGGGGAGAGGAGATAGGAAGGAGGGAAAGGGGAAGAAGGAGAGGTTCAGGAACACTCTGCAGCACAAAGAAAGTCTGGGTCAGGGCAGCACAGCCTGACACTACAATATGAGATTGTCGATGCATAATCCTTCTAGTAGGGCTTACATCTTTTTCCTAATATTACTGTTGTATTGATCCATCACCCAGCAGCTCTACCAGGAGCACATCTGCCCTGTCTGCTCCTGTCTCTACCATGATAATGAAGAGTGGAGAGATGGCAGCTTTTCTTAGTAGCTGCTGAATCTCTCCTTGAAGCATTCCTGACCTGTACTTTATCTACGACACTCCTTCTTTAACTCTAGAATGTTGTCATCCCTTTTCAGAGTGAGTGAAGGTTACCTTTCCCTGAGCAAGCTCAGTCTCAGACAAATCTCTAATTCAGCTGTAGCCTGGACTACACCACAGCACTTGTTTGCCAGCTCCTGAAGAAAACAGGCCTCAGCTTAAGTGGTGGGGACTCATATGGCAAAAGCTTGTCAGGTTCCACCCCCACCACTGCTATGAGGTTTGTCCTTGGCCACAAATGTGGTACAAGGCCATCTCTATATTAAAGAGAAGGATGTACTGTATGAGCAAAATAGAAATGCTGTGCTTCATCCATCGAGCTCATAAACTCACATCACACTCCTGTCAGTAATGGTCAAAAGCTGTTTGGCATCAGCCTGACAACTTATTGTCCTTGAAGGAGTGCTTGGACTAAACTCTGGACCTGCAAGTCTTGCGGTAATTCTTTCCAAGTGAGATTTTAGCAGTTCCCCAAAGCTCTGCAACAGCAACAAAATCTTATGTCTGAACAATCCAGGGCTTAGAAAAGTTCAGGCAGGTGTGTAAAAGAGACGGGGATTTTAAAAAATACTCAGCTTGGCCTAGTGCTAATTCTCCTGAAGTGAAGTCAGACCTCCCATTTGCCCTCAGTGGGAGCAGTGTTATGTTGGCACTGAAGACTTTTGGAAATACTGCTGTAAAAGTCAATATGCTTTTTATAGGGAGTCTATGAAAGCTATAATAGCTGCACATGCAAAAGAAAGTCCCTGCCCAGAAAAACAAATACAAGGGAGAACCATGCTGGGCTATATGGCAGGGGGCCCTAGGGCCGACCACAGGCTGCATTTCGCAGGACCCTTGGACGCAATCCATCCACACCAGCATGTTCAGCTGACACTCTGTTTATTATTTGACCATATGCAGGGAGAACTCCCTCCAGTTGCTCTGCCTTTCCTCTCCTTCAGCAACTGAGAAATGTGCCACGTGAGCAGCAACGAACCAAGAACCGAGGAAAACCAAGAAACATACACTGCTCCTTACCCCACTGCTTCCCAGAGTGATCTTCATATTCTCCGTTGGAGCCTTCGGGTACCTGGCTATCCTTTCCTGAGCTGGCATCATCTGCAAAGGAAGGGAAAGGGAAGATGTTAAGAAGGTCTCCTGCAGTACAACAGTACAAGAGTTTGCATTTCCTCCTGGAGGCACCATGCAGCTGAAACACACTCAACACACATTAGGCATCCACAGCCTGGCCAGTTTAATAAACAGTTTAGTTTAGTGTTTTATGAGCTTTTCAGCAGGCTACCAAAGCAATGGGAGATTAATCAATGTTTGCATTAATATCTCGCAAAAACCTCTTTGTTTATTTTTACAGGTTGCTGTTCCCTAGAAGGAGCAGATCTGTTGTACTTTCTACACAAATAGTGGTATAAATCAAAATTACATATAATTAAACCTAGGAGGTGGGGGAAGACCTGTGTGATCAGTCACACAAAGCACAAGCAGTGGAATTACAGCCACTAATTCACCTTTCAGCTTCCATGCAAAATCAAAAAGCAAGCAGATCTGGGGTTAAATTAGTTCTCAAGTGATTTTAAATGAAAAGTTATGGCTGGCAAAACCAATATTGAATTGAAAAGCTGTTTGTGGGTATTTTTTTCTCTAATTGAGACCATCCCATCCACGTGCATCAACACACCACTTTGTCCCTTATCACTCTAGTTGTCTATATCACTATCACAGAGCAGCACTGAAATTTCAACTCAAAGGAGAAGTGGAAACATCTGATCTAAGGAATGAATCCCTCTAAATGGCCAACTCCTAAAACATAATAGAAAAAGGTCTCATGAGTGATAAAGAAGAAAATTCTCTCTGTAATCTCTTTGATGGAGAAGACAAATGTTATTTGAGCTGATAGATGAGTATGCCCCCAAAAAAGGTACAGAGAGTAAAACTGCTCTTTACAGTTGTTTTAGAAGTTGGGTTGCCCTTAAACAGTGTTTAGTGTGTAAACTTGTGTGCAGTCTTTGTGCAAGAAGAATTTGTGTTTAACCCCATCCTCACCCCAGGTTCTGCTATTTTGGAAACTCATCCCATCTCTTCAGCAAAGGGCATTATATGCCAACAGATGCTCTGCTCTCTTTTACCTCTGTCCCTTGAGCAGAGAGCCTGCAATTCCATATGGGTTTGTCCCGCCTCGACCCTGACAGATTTTTCTCTCCTCCTTTTGGTTACTTTGGTGCAGTTTCCCCTGGAGGTATGTTCAGCTGTCACTCCGAGGAGAAAAGAAAACTTTTCGGGCAGCAGCATGCGGTGCTCGTACTTCAGCAGCTCCCTGAAGCCGCTCCATTATATATGATGGCTTGCATATGACAGATTGTCTCCCTTCACTCAAAATACCAAATCAGTTTTCTCCTGACACTTGTATAATTTTTCCCATATATACCAGTATTGCTATGAATGAAATCTTGGATGCTCTCTGACAGAGAACTTAGTAAATCCCTCTGCACAATCAGAAAAATCTATTGGGTAATGGAGAGTAAAGAAAATCTGTGGAGAGATGTAGGAGTCCTGTCCATTGCTAACTGCTGAATATCTTAAAGTGGTTAAGGCATTTAAGTGGCAACGTTCTGTCAATTGTATCTTAATCCTGCTCAGCTTGATGTACAAAGAGCAGCATATCTCCCTTGCCTGCAGCCTCGTCTTACAGTATATCAGCCCATGTGCACTCCTCCTGCTGACACACACGGACTGACTGGCAGTCTCCACACCTCTTGACATGCTGCCAAGCTTTTGATGTAAGAAAAATTGCCCTGAATCTGTTTGATCCTTTGAAGATGCTTCTTCAGTTTTTATCCTACCAAATTGCAAACCTGTGGAGTAATCTACCAAACCTAGAAAAAGGAATTTTGGGGGAAAGAGACCAGGATAACTAATGCCACCATGCTGAGCCAATGGAATAGATTGAATAGAATTTGATGGAGGAGCAACACTGAAATAAATAACTGCATGCATTTAGGCACATTGGTTTAGATACACTGGAACTTGCTTCACGTGTGTCAGGAATGTGGAAACATTAACAACAATAGCAGAAGTCCTAAGGGGGGGAATATGTCATAAACATGGAAACTCTTGTAGAGCAAGAGTTCCTGCTCCTTCCCATCCCCGGAGCCGCATGCAGGGTGAGGGATGTCACAGCAGACTCTATCCTCAGCATGACTGTATCTGAACCGACTCACACTGGAGAACTGTACCAAAAAGAGTTGATTCACGAGATCCAGAAACTGGGGGAAACTCAGTTTGGGAAGGTTCCCTGAAGCACGTGAATCTCTAGTTGAATTTAAAAGTATGAGTGAGGCAGCAGAGTAGCCAGTGATATAATGATGAAGTGTTAACCTGTGATGTGAGTGACCCAGGGTCAGGTCCCTCTTCTGCTGAATTCAGAGAAGGATTTGAATCTCTATTCTTGCACCTTGGGTGAGTGTCTTAAGCTCTGACCTGTGGACTCAGAGAGCCAAAAAAGAGCTTCTTATTACATAAAGTAGAACAGCACTTTGGGAGACAAATATTTCAGGAACACCCTGAGGACGGGAGACCCCTGTCTAATTCAGATATCACCAATATTTGACTTTCACCAGTCTCATCCAAAGTCAGTACTGTAGATGCATGGAAAGAGTATGTCTCTCCCTGGTTTAAATAACTTTCTTATTTTTTTCCAATTTTAATACTGAGTGGTTTCCTAGGGTAGAGAAACACTTTTACAGTTTTTCTAGTCCCTATGCTGGGAAGGGTTTATCTTTCTGTACCACAAATACCCTTTTTTCTCTTCTGTGGAGGGATCTGTGACACTGACAGCAAAGCCAAATATCCTGCAAGTTCAGAGGCATCTGGTGCAGCCCAAACCTTTGGTCTGAAGCCTGGTTAATAGTGTCAGATCTGAAGACCTGCTGTTTGCACTTCACCCTGAGCTTCACAAATGCAGCTGGCCTGGCACTATTCTTATTAGACAGAGAGAGGACCTGAAAGAACAAGTCACATTCACAAATGTATGACTGTGTACGAAAGGATGAGATAGAGGCAGAAATCACATGAGCCTTTGCTATATTAAAAAATGACCTAATATGCCACTTAGTTGTTCATGCTCTTGTGACCTCCCCCCCCTGAGATGGGCAGGGGGGGATGATAAGTACATACAAAAAAATCAGCCTACAGTCTAAGGGCAGTAGGGACCAGCTATGCAGCACTGCCAGCTTTGCTGCCAGCACATTACTGTGAGAGGCAGTGCTAAGAAGGATGAACTACTGAAGTTTCCTATGAACTCCCTTTTCTGTGACCTATACTGGAAGGTCATCCTGTACTGGACTTCTTGGACAGTATCACAGGCTTAGGATAGAAGCCAGTTGGAAGACAAAGTGGAAAACCTGCCTTGGAAAGCAATCACTGACTAATTTTATGTCACGAGTATCTGATGCTAAGAAAACATACACGATTTAGATGTCCTCACTGTACAGTTTGGCTCCATGGTGTTACAAAGCATGCTGGCTGGTCAAGAAACCTGAAGGGTAAAGCTCCAGTATCATGTCAGGTGATGGACTTGGAGACATGGGAGAAACTCGTGTAACCCCTTCCCCCTCAAATACAGCACATGGCAATACAAGACAGAGCCAGGATGGCCCCAGAGGCATCAGCCCGTTGTTCAGGAGTGTCACCCCACTGGCATCATCCCCAGACACTGCCTCTCTCTTGCTTCAGGATCTCAAGCCGGCTTTTAGGTCTGAGGTGCCACAGGACTGAGATGCTGGTGGTGTTGGGGATGTGTATGGTGGAGCTGAAAGGGACAGTCACAGACTTGTGTGAGACTGGACACGTCTAAGTGTATGAGGCCATGATTATCAGTGCTGATGTAATGGAACAAATTGCCCTTTCTCACCCCAGAAACTACAATACTCTATGCATATTGCCTGCCATGTGTCTTTTTGGTCTTATCCCTTGTCCCAAAGCAGGCTGGATTTCTGCAGAGAAGGGATTTCTGTATGTAACTGCATCAACTGACAAAGCCCACTGAGGATCCTATGGGACAAGAGTGCCACATCAGTGGGGTATAGTTACTGTTTATTACCATAGCAGAATTGTTCCATTCCCTCTTGAAAGTTAAAGGAAATGGAAAATTCTGCATTACGGTCCAGCTCTGAGAAAAACTGATGGGAAATATTCAGGCTGTTCCTGAGTCAGGATCGAATTTTATTTACCCACAGACTCTTTATGAAGGCTTTGTGTTTTAACCATGACTGGTTTTCAGGCCAATACCGTGTGTTGAGTCCAACCGCGAGTCAAGAAAATGGCCCAGTTTTTGAAGCAAAAATCTAGCCATCATAATTCTCTATGATTCACAAAGTTGCTTTAATTTGTTATAATGCAAGGCCCGTCCCTGCTCTGACTTGATGGGACCAGCTTTGGAGTCTTTGATGTCAGAGGCCTTGAAAGCCCCATTTCACAGATGAGCCAGCTTTGCATAAATAAACAAAGTGACCTCTGAACTGGAGCCTGAGACCTGAGCACACTTCAAAGCACTGGGGGAGGCGGTGGGGGGGCAATGGGGAATGAAGCGATCAGCATCCATCATTAAGGCAGCCCCCGCTCAACACTGCACTGAACAAGGGGTGTAAATAAAAGGAGGGAGGCAAGTGGGGAGGGAGGAAAGTGATGTAATCCAGTCAGGCTTGAACAATTATAATGAGGCCTTCTCCCATGGATGAATGAAAGACATCTCTCTGAACTCCAGCTTTAAGAGCTGACTGTCGTGTTTACCCAGACACATCCTATCTGCACATCATATTTGCTCCCCAATGTCCTTCACCACTGCAGATGTCTGGGGAGTGGCAAAACACAAGTTGCTTGTGGGAGGCAGGTCTAGGGCATACCCAAGAGTTAAATCAGAATTTTTTCTGTTGGCCTAACCAATAAAACTTGGACCATGAACTTTGAAGAGGAGGTGATTGTACTTATTTCTCAGTAGCCTTGGTGGTGCAGTAGGTTGTGGATAAACACACATGAAAACATGTACCATCTGAAAAAGTATGTCTCTGCAGTTTATCTCAGATACATTCAGGTTTTCCTGTAAT